TATATATATATATATATGCCTTCATTATAGGAGTACTAGTGAAGGTAGTTGTTACTTGGATAATGGATGTTTGAAGTACATGACAGACGGTCCTACAATATTTACATTATTAGAACCAAGGATGGTGGATATGTATCATAGGATAATAATAAAAGAAAGATAATTGGAAGTTATAGATAAGCAACTTGAAAATATGTTTAAGATGGGCTTCCATAAGTATAAAGGTAAAAAAGAGCATGCTAATTTAGATCTTCATTAGGTTGAGTTTCATAATGAATTAAAATATGTTAGAAAAGTAAAATATTGTTTACTTACCAAAGTATCCTCATGTGATAGATTGAGTAAATAAAATTTTATTCTAAAAAGTTAAATTGGATTGCTTGAATTTTATTGACAAATACAATATTAAGTATGGAAGCATCTCACATTTCACCTAACATCAAGAGTATTTCGTACACTAGACCATAAGCACAAACATGTTGGGTTTCTAACTTATGGTAGCTTAGGACACTTCTCTAAAAGTATTAAAGATAGAGTTACACAGAGAAGCTATACTATGTTTGAGTTCCTAAGCTCACATATGCATAGGTTTTGTGCTTTCCCATTACACCTATTATTCACACCATACATTCCATGAATGGACCCAAAGTAATTTGGGTTTCCAAACTAACAAGTTGATATATATAATTGGAATTGGGATCATTAGCTACATATCCTACGCTATCAAGAAGATTCTTTTAGTTAATGGATTGATACACAATCTAATCAGCATCATTTAACTATATGATAATGGTTATGATGTTTACTTTTCTGTTGCTCAGTATACTTTATTGGTCATAAATAAAATAATGTATATTTTCTTGAATAGATTCAAGCTACCTCAATTGTTTAACTACACATTATGATGATTCATGGATTTTAGATAAGTGATTTTAACATGTAAGCATATACACTTTAACTAAATTGTATATACATGAGTTAGTCATAGGATTACTCAAGGAAGAAAAAATGGAAAGGAAAGCTCGACTAAATTTAACACTATATCAAATGAAGGTGTACTTATGGGTTGCTCCCATCATGATAAGACCTATAATATTTTTAACAAGAAAAGTTTGATTGTATAAGAATTAATATAAGCAATGTTTTATTTGTAAAAGTAGAGGTTATCCTAAATGAGAAGTTTAGTCAATGAGAAGATTGTTATAGTACTTATGCACAGATTAGCTTGTAGCTACCAAGGAGGATCCTAGTACCTAAATTTCTTAAGGAATGAAGGTATACCTCTGTAATGCCCTAGAACCTAAGGGAGGAATTTAACCTACATTTCCTATAATTCTTCAACCTACAATTTCATATTTTTTATTTTTAGAGTCATATAATCATCCAATAAAATAAAATAAAATAAAGTGCATATCCAAAATATGCAAAATTTTCTTTAGATTGTCAATTTATCATGAGATCCAAAAAAAGAGTTCAAAATATAACAATATCAACAAAACACCTATATAAATTATGAACTAACAAAATGGAGTATACCTTACAACTCAAAACTTCTTGCCTCCTATCAAAACCAACCTACTCAGTGTAGTCCTTTCATTTACTTGAAATAGTTTAAACAACATAATGAGTACAACACTTAGTAGGACAACCACTCTTCATAATAGAATTCAATTTAAGACTTATAATTAGAATAAACATGGCAATAGAGAGTTTTACCTTTTGATTCTAAACTTATAACATGATAGAATTTATGCTTTGTAAGGCTTATGAACATAATAGGTTAGGTACTCATGCTAACATAAAAATATGAATGAACATGTTCCAATGCCTATTTATAACTTCCCTTTTCATCACCTCCCACTGTTGCAAATCTGGGCCCAAGGTCTATGTTTTTGATGATAACAAACATTATTGTTTCTTTACTACTGCTTTTCTTGTATATCTGTCTCATTTCCCTTGCTAACTAACCTTTCAGGTTCACAAGTTCACTTGAAATGAAAATCAACTAAAGATAGGATAGTCTAGGATTGAGTCAGTCTGTATTTTCACTTTAATGTACTTTTACCTTTCTTGAGTCAAATCCTGAATATGGTGGACCCCAAGCTAAGTAACCTTGCACACACACACACACTCAGGGAGTGAAAATTAATGAGTTAGAGATTCTTTTCTATTTTTGACTATATTGTATATGATGATATTAGATCATCCTAGAAAATCAATATAAAAATAAAAACCCTGATTAGGGCATCCGATTAATTACATGTGATTAAACTAATTATACTGGATGATCCATATCGTCTAGGACGATTAGCTTAAAAGATGAAAATAGTCGCCAATCACAATTTAGGTAATATTTTAATTTTCAAATTTATTTTTAATAATGCAGGACGATCTACATCATCCTGAACAATTTTTGACAATCATACCTATATTTACCTGGTGATTAAAAGAGTAATTATGGTTAAATTGTTCAATAAAATCGTACAGGATGATCCATCTGGATCGTACTGAACGATTTAGATGAAAAACCATAACTTTACTCTAATAATCCATAAGTATCATCCTGGATGTCCTAAGACTTTTTCTGGATGATATGGAGATCGCCACCCATCGTCCAATGTCGTACTGGACGATCAATATTGTATATTGAACTAATCATCTCAGACGATCCATACAAATACTTGTACTAATCGTACAGAGCAAAGGCGGGCGTCCTAGCTGATAGGGTTATTTTGTACTAATCATACAGGACGATCTATCGATCATCCTGGACGACCAGTTGAGCAGAATTAAAAAATAGGGCTTCTTTTGAAGGATCTCTATTTAAGCAATGGTATTAGCCATTGGGTTAATATTTTGCTGTGGAGTTGATCTAAGGGGGAGCTTAGATAAGAAAGAGGGAGAGCTTAAGAGAGAGAGATATTTGTGAGGGAATCACAAAGGTTACTTCGTACAAGGTGTTCGTTGTCTTATTCGAGTTACTCTGGTTCCTTTGAAGCTCTGAGGAGATTGTCTTCAGCATTAGATCAAGATTCTCTGCATACTCCATGAGGGAGTAAAAGGATTCTCAGGTTCTTTGCCTAGTCTAGGAGGGAGTAAAAAGATTCAAGGTTCTCTACCTCAACGTGTCGGTGGAAAGATTTTATAAAGGCTTCTCCGCCTTACCGTGGGAGAAAAAGGAGAGTCGCTTCTATTTAGTGCAATACTTGGAGAGGAAGTCTCCAAGGAGTGGACATAGGTCATATTTGACCAAACCACTATAAAACTCGGTATGTTCTTTCTTATTATTTTCACCTTATTTTATTTCTGCACTTTTATGTGATTTGTTTTGAGATTGAAACATTGATCATATTGTTAATGTGAACTTTGTTTTTCTTACATATCAAGAGTTATTATTTTATTTTAAAATATTTAAAAAAGATAAAAAAGGTTTTTTTTTGTTTAAGAAATTTTTTAGAACTACCAATTCACCCCACCCCCTCTTGGTTAGCCTCGGGCTAGTTCCTTTGGGTTTAACACCCCTCACGAACTTCCAAGTGGTATCAGAGTGAGATTCATAAAATCAAATTTTAAAAAAACTTTTGAATTTTGATCCATGGCTAACTTTAGAATTAGAAACACCACAGAATGTTATTCGATTACTAGATCATCTCTTTTTGATCATATACTGTTTGATTTTTGGAAAACTCGCAAGTCCATTTTTCAACAATCAATTGATTATTATATGTGGATGCTTGTTAAGAAAGATTATTCTGCACCTTTTAAATTGGCAAATGGTGTTAAACTGAAATTTCTTTCGCTGATTGAACTACTAATGATAGAGATCTAACACAACTAAATGTTAGCTGCTTGAACTATTTTTCTGTGCTTTAAAATCTGAAGACTGAAGGTACAAACGAAGTTGAACAATTTAGACTAAATATTCTTTTGAATGTCTATAAACTTTTTTGTATGAAAGCTAACGAATCTATTTTTGATATCTATACTAGGTTTACACAAATTGTTACATTCCTACACACCTTAGGAAGCGAACTAACAAACTATGAAAAAGTTAACAAGATTTTGAGATGTTTGCCTTCTTTTTTTATACGAAAATTATTGACATTACTGAATCTAAAGAATTGAATGTTTATTCAATCGATAACTTACTTAGATCACTAATTTCTTATGAGCAAGGAGTGAATCTTAGGTAGTTTGATCAGGTGAGGAAAAAAAAAGAGAAAAATGAAGCCTTAAATGTTAATGATTCTGACACTGAT